TGTGAGAGAGAGAGAGAGAGGAAAGCACCAGCGTGGTCAGGATTACAGTATGTGATAAAATATTTCTGTCACTAGGTGGCAGCATCACCCTGCGTGTGTGTGAAAATGTGAATTTTCTGCATGTTTTTAATAAAATTATATTTCATGGGTGTCGTGTAACTTACAGAAATGAGTCGAATACATCGTGTTTGTGTGTTTTGGTTAAAGCAGCTGCTTCAGTGGGTCAAAGGTCGTCCAGGCTCACCCTGTAAAGCACACGCAGGAACCCACCTGTAGGTGGCAGTGTAAGGCCACAGTTCATCTGTCATGTACGCTCCACCATAAGTTCACACACCTCCATCTCAGCAATGAAACCCTGGTTAGAGTTCAGGCCTGAGACACAGCACCACCCTCAGAGGTCAGACGAAGGGTGGCTGTGAGAGTCTCACTGAAAATCCACCCACATCAAATCTGACTTTTACACAGAAGCCTGTTTCCAGGCAACACCAAGTATGTGTTTAATAATGCAGCCATCCAACCGTCCTTATTGATCATCCGACCAAACACCGGATCATGTCCGACTGAACACGTTCCTAAAAAGACGAGGGAGCCGTCACATATCACCAGTGGTTCTGTGATGATTGACTGGGTTAATCAATGCCTTTCTTCCTCCAGTGTGTATTACATCACAGGGGCAGAAGATCTTAATGTTGCCTCAGATTCACTTAAATAGCCAAAGATCCTGGTTGGATCCCAGAGGAGACGCTGGTGGCTCGAGACTGAGCCGGGAACAGTAAATACGAAGCTGTGGCGTCCCCTGTGACAAAGATGGCAGCTTCTATCGCTGCCTGGACTGTCGTTACATAAATCATAAAGACAGAAAATCAGTTGTGTTCTCTTTGTTTTACTGGTACATCGCATCGTCTTCTACACATTGAGCTCATATTATTCTTAAAATTGTGGCATTCTCAGTTTAAACATCTGGATTCTAACTCCTCTGCAGAAGCCCTGGCCCTCTGTGCGCCCCCAGTGCTTCTTCACAGGCTATTTGGCATTTCCTGCTGCAACAGCTGAGTTGCTCCTGGGAGACACGACATGAAGGGTCCGCTGGTAATTCAACCACAGTCCTCCTCATCCTGCTCCACTACCCAGCAGGAAGCTAGGGCACTGAGAGGCAGGAGGAAGCAGCATGCCCTGACCCCTGCTGCTTCCAGCCTCCAGGACCTGCCCCACCTGATCTCACCTTTGGTTTTTGAGACGAGTTAAACCGTGACCAATAAGGCAGTGAGCATCGTAGCTTACAGCGGACAAGGCATCCAATGTGCAACGTCGCCCCCGTGAGCAGCACGCTGGATTCTCTCTGCAGAGAGACTCTCACTCGCCGAGCATCAGCCACAGAGAGGTGCCGTTGGGTAACAAGCCCGGAAAGATCACAGCCAGCTTAGAGTGTGAACCCGCATGACCACGGTCAGTGGGCCAGAAGGGAACCGGTCACAGTCACTGTGGAGGAACTGACAGGGCAGCCACACAGGTAAGGGGACTAATGCTGTCACCCAAACTCAACCACACACAAAGTCTCAACGCAAGAGTCTGTTAATACCTGACTGTAGCTTCATCACATGTTCCCTGACCCACACAGGCGGCGTTTGACTGTTTAGCCTCATCGCTTGACTGATCCTACTGGCACCAGCAGCTAAGCTAGGCCCACGGCGATGGGAACACAGGAGCAGAGTCATCTTCGGCTCCTCGCCCTGAAGTCTCCACCTCCTCCTGCTGTGTCTGCACCTTGGTCCGGCACCTTCATGACAGCGATGTCACAGGTGTCACATGACACCCAGGACCTCAAATAGACCCAGAGATCCTTTTAAACTCAGAGACGAGACCAGAGAACAATGCATCAGACAGAAAGAGCAACAACAAGGGTCAACAGCCAGAGTTTTAGGGTCCAACAGCCCATTTTTAGCTTGTGTAATATCCTGAGTTATTCTTAATTAGAGCCATCTTCTTATATTTTGTAACTGGCTGTTGTTAAAGTCTTGCAGCATCTGTGGCTCCATAATTTCCTCAGGGATGAATAAATATTGTGATTGAATCTTCACTTTCATCAACACTGATTGCACTCCACAGACTGCACAATGCTGAAAACGGTCTCAAACACGACAAATTATCTCCAAATATCCACTCTAGAATCTAACTCTGAACTCCAATCAGCTTTTCTCACACTGAAAACTCAGTTTCAGCTCTGAACACGTGCACCCTGAGCTAATAAGCAGAAAGACATCAGAGATTCACCATGGCAACAGCCTCCAATTCAGTCCAATGAAAGCGGACCGTGAAGGAGAAAAGAGGGATTTTATTTATCCTCATCCACTCAGGCATCGTTTAATGGACTTCTGCTTCACAGAGACCCAGCTGGAGTCCAGCAGATGTTACACACTGACCGACCCGACGGTTTACTGTCAGACTCAGACTGTTAATGATGTGTTTGAACACCTGAACATATTCAAACACATTCAGACTGTCTGCAAGAGCAAACAGCACCTTTAGACCATGGCTGGTCTCAGTGGCTCTGTGGTAAAGTGGTTAACACAGTCTCTGGCTTGAGCTCCAGAGCAGCCACGTCAGGATAAATCAGTGGTGGCGTCCCCTGGATTCTTAAAGCCCTGTCAGACTCATTTTCACTCAGGTATTCCCTTCACTTCAAGCATGTGTTTGGTTTAAACAGGGATTCCTGCAGAGAACTTTTTTATGTCAGCGTAATAAAGTCAGAGTTTTAATGAGGATGTGATCACAGCAGGATTGGACATGTGGCTGCCCTTCGGCCCCACAGAACCAGAGTCTGACCCTCGCTGCCTTTAGTCCACGTGGCCTTGCTCCCTGCGGTGTCTCAGCACAGCTCGGCCTAGCATCAGCAGGAAAAACACGGTCGTCATGGCAGCATACGATCCCAGCACGGTCTGCACGGCGGCTGGAAAGTCGGGATGCAACAGAAGCGAATGGCTGCCAAAGTGGGGGTACACGAGGAGGTGGATCTCTGCCGCCCGGCGACCGTGCAGCCAGCAGTAATACACACCTGCAAGTGTAAAGACACCTCAGTCAAACTGAGCAGCACAGAGGTCGGACCTCATCATCGTCACCGCTGAACTGAAATATGATTCAGAGCATCTAAACATCTAAACATCAGCAAGACTAAGGAGCTGATCGTGGACTTCACTACAAAGCAGGCGAGGAATTACAAACCCCTCATCATCAGTGGCACGCCAGTGGAGAGAGTGGACAGTTTCCGATACCTGGGTGTCCACATCACTCAGGACCTGTCATGGTCCTGCCACATCAACACCCTGGTTAAGAAAGCCTGTCAGCGTCTCTTCTTCCTCAGAAGACTTAGAGACTTCCATCTGCCACTGAAGGTGCTCAAGAACTTCTACTCCTGCACCATCGAGAGCGTCCTGACGGCAAACATCTGCACCTGGTTTGGGAACAGCACCAAGCAGGACAGACGAGATCTGCAAAGAGTGGTGCGCTCGGCAGAACGCATCATTCAATCAGAGCTCCCTGACCTGCTGTCCATCTACACCAAGCGGTGCAAGTCCAAAGCTAGGAAGATTATGATGGACCTCTCCCATCCCCACAATGGACTCTTCTCACTGTTGAGGTCTGGGAAGCGCTTCCGCTCCCTTAAGGCCAAAACAGCGAGAATGAGGAGGAGCTTCTTCCCCCAGGCTATTCGGGGCCTGAACCAGGTGTAGGACTGGACTCTCCCAAACACGTCACTATAAGACTGGACTCTCACACACGCACCACCACACATTTCCTATAATCCTATAATTCCTATAATTTATAATCCTTATCTTTATAATCTCTTCTGCTATTTGCACGTTCTTTACTGTAATTTCCTAAGTTAATTTGTAAATTCTGTAGTAACCTGTAAACTGTAAATATTGTAAAACTTTCTTCTGTCATTTAATGGTCGGGCATTGTACAGCTACAAGCATTTCACCCCCATGTCATACTGTGTATGGTTGTGTGTGTGTGACAAATAAAATTTAATATTTGAATTTGATCTAAATAACAAATCTGATGCGGGCCAAACACCGACTTCAGATGGAGCATCAGGTAAGAGCGTCTGCGTGCCCTTCCTCACCTATGACCCCCTACTGTGGGCAGTGATCACCCTGTGATTGCGTGACCCCACACTTCCTGCACCCTCCTGGTTGAGGCACTTCCTGTACAGGGAGGAGACCCCAGACATGCACAGATTAGGTGGCAGGTCTGGGATCCCCAGGATTCTCCAGGGTTAGCTTCACAGCTTCACCTGCTGCCACCATAAAGTTCGGAAAAGGGTGGAGAAGACCCCGAGTGTAAAGAGTTATCTCAGAGTCAGCAGCCAAATATATTCACAAAGAGACATCTCGAGTAAAGGTCACCTGATGTGAGCTTCATGACTGGACAATGAGATGAGACCACCTGATGGGGGCGCTGTTCATACCTGAGTCCTGCGTTTGAGCCGGCTGAAACAGCAGGTGGTGCCCGGTGTCTATGAGCAGTCTGAGGTCTGCGCCTGAAGAGTGTTCAGACCTGTAGATGGGTTCGTTCCCTCTGTCCCAGGCGACCGCCGTGTCAGGGCGCGCCCCAGGACAGCCCAGGGTGAGGACCTGCCCGTCGGGATGGGTCAGGTAGTACAGAGGTAGCCCGGTTGGCAATGAGGCAGAACTGTGACACAGAAAAACCCAGAGGTGAAACATCTGGATTCAACAGCAAAGAGCACCGCAGGAAATCTTCAGGACTCAATCTCAGAGATGATTCACGGAGACATTCGGACACTGTGGTTCCAAGCAGGGCGACCACGCGTCCATGTGTCGGAGACGACAGGTGAGAGCGCACGAGGGTCACCACAAACAAAACTTTACTGGCACAAAACACAAAAAGAAAAAAACTACACGGGAACAAAGAGAAGACCAAAAACAAAGACTACATCTACACAGGGGGCTGACTCCAAGCCAGGACATGACAGGAAGTGACACGTACAGAAGAATAGCATGACCGACAGGAAACAGGTGAGAGTGAAGAGACTGTGTCATGAAACCAGAAAAACATGTTTAGCATGAATAACTAAATAACATGTCAGACAGACGACCACACACGTACGCGTCTCTGAGTTTTAGCTTCAATAATAAGAAAATAAAACCATGACTCTGGTTTTAAAGGAGCCCCCGTGAGGTCCAGCAGCAGACGGGTTCACCATCACAGTGGTCACACGCCGCTGGGAATCTAAAGGCCTTCTTATTAATTCGATCTTCAGAGAGGATTATGTAAATGTTTCTATACTGACTGCTGACAATCAGACTGGATTGAGACAGGTTGTGGATCATCTTCAGTATCTCTCTGCAGGACCAGTGAGTGATTTTATTAAAGTCTTCGCCTCGACTGACCCGAGCCACTGTGAGAGGGGACTGAATCTGCACAGATGCTCTGTCGTGTCAGGGAGTGAAAGAGTTAGTGTAAAAAGGGAAGCAACTATTAGTGTAATGGGTCAGTGCAATATCAGGACAGTCAGGGCATGTGCAGCACTGGGGATTGTGCAACATAACTGATGTGTTTCTGTTACTGATCTCTATACTGTCCTCTGTGTCCAGTCGTCATTGTTCTAGTATAATGTGATCATTGTTTTTGTCCTTGTCACATGACCTGTAAATAGTGTCTCTGTATGTTTTTGCTAACGTGTGTGTGTAACACCAGCCTGCCAGAGGGTCTGCAGAGGCTGTAATCTGGCATATTTAATTTGTTAAAATATTCATTAATATGTAGAGCCCCTCTTTCTAAATAAAAACAATTATAATAACTAAAAGTTCATTACTGAAATACACTTTGACCCTTGAAGATCGGGGGACGTCCAAACCGAGAGACATCAAGCTTCTGATTTGACCTCTGCTGACCTCTGACTTCCTGAGTAACAGGAAGTCTGTAATTGTGCACAGTCACCGGCTTGGTGCTGGACGGGTGTCACGCACACGCTCACCTGGACCCAAAAAGAGACATCAGACCGAGCAGCTTGGAGGGCGGGGCCTGGGACGGACACGTCATATGACAGCTTCTGACCTCCAGCTTCGCTGCGACTCTGCTTTGCTTTAAACCGAAGGCTCTTGGCACCGCCCCCGAGCTGCAAGAAACGACCGTCTGATTGGCCCGCCTGTAGCGCACGTTCAGGAAGCGGGAGCGTATGTAGCAGAGCCCGGCTCGGACCTGCTCGCCCGGCACGCCGCAGCGGTCGCACACAGACCACGGCTGGAAGCTGGTGAAGAGGCGGTACAGAGCGCTGAGGTCGGCGCTCTGGCCCCGTTTCCCGTCGCTAGCCTCTGAAGCGAGTCTGCAAACATCAGCTGATCGTTATTTCTTAAATATCGATTGATTATTAAGCTTAAACAAACAGGTTCGTGGTTGTCATGAATTCAGCATGTGCTCAGCGCACCTGTTGGTGAAGCTGAGCGTGGGAGCCTCCTGGATGTCCAGGTCGTAACCATAGAAGAAGTCTTTGTGGGCGGAGCCACAGATGTAGATGCCTGCATCATCGGGCCCAGCTCTGAAGATCAGCAGGCTGAAGAGTCGGATGGAGAAGCGACTCCGCAGGTCTCCGCTGTGAGGGACCTGGCTGGGATCGAGCAGGTGGTTGCCATGGTGATCAGTCAGCGCTTTGGTGTCCTCTGATCGTTCCAGATGTTTCCGGAAAAACCAGACAACCGACTGGACCTGAAACCGATATTTGAACCTTTTTCAGTCTGCACAGTTGGAAGAGGTTCTTAAATAGACGGAGGGGCTCCAGCTAGAGCCGCTACTCCTCCACAGCGAGCGCAGCACCTCCTGGCGAGGTGTGTCGGACGCCACGGTCATCCTCGGATGGCCACCGGCGAGGGGGAGGGGTCCTGATACAGTTAAAACCATGAAGTCGTAAATGAAATCTAGACGTTTGATTTGACTTTGTGCAGATGGAAAACCAACAGGAATAAAATAAAGAGGAAATGTTTTTCAGGTTGGTGACATTCGTTGTCGCAGTTTGCCTCACGAGGCTTCGATGTTTAAGGCATCGAACGTCTCAGAGTCAAAAACTTGTGTTTTCACTGTAAAACCGAAAGCTCACCTCCAGCATACTTATATATAGTGCAATACTCCAACATACATACCATACAATCATATCAACAGACTAAAACTAAACTCTGCAAACTGAAACAGATTCAACACAAAATATGAACCAACACTAACTGGATATTATAAAAACTACACTTTCTCTGCACAGATACCTGACACCCCAGGTGTGCAGTAGAAAACAGATGGTTAGTTACTCGCGTACTCTACCTGCTCTGGTTTGCAGAGGCAGGGCAGCTCCACGGTGACTCCTGACAGGTAGGCAGCGTTGGTGAAGGTCAGGAAGGCGGGACACGCCGTTCTGGCAAACATGTCCTGTTTGTCTTCAGGGGCCTCGTAGCTCCACGCCTTTGGAGTCAGGAAGAGGAGGAAGAGCGGGGACAAGGATGGCAAAGGCATCTCTGAGGAGGAAACAGTTTTTTTTAAACAGTCTGAAGAATGTTTACTTTCAAAGACAAACCGATGAGCTGAACTGTCCACTCCAATGACCTGCAGGAGTCTAAATATGACTGTGGGATCTTTGGGATCTCTGCTTCACTGGGTCCTTCCCCAGCACCTCCCGACAGATCTCCATCTTCTTTTCTCTGTCAGCAAAGCAGATAAACTTCAGCTCGGTAAACAGACACACAGTATCGCATCAGCAGCGTCTTCACAGAAGTACAAACCAACACCCTGCAGCCTCGTTGATTGGTTCCTGTCAGTCTGACATCAGATTCAAAGCCTGCAGAGCCACAAATCATGTGGAGGTTTCTGTGAGGGCGCCCCCTGCTGGGCCGCAGGTTTGTGACAGCAGAGCTTTTAGCAGTGCTGGAGGTGTGAGGGCTGCACTCAGACGGGGAAACACTTCACACGAGTGAAGAGCACTACACGAAAGCTGGTCTATTTATCGTTCCCATTAACTCAGACGGTTTCTCTCGTTCGTTCATTTTCCCTCATTTAGAAATCGAAACACAAACTTCAGAGAAAAGTGTTGTGAATGAAGCTGAGCCATCCCTTCATGCTCAGCTCGCTAAGTTCAGGAGCAAGTTTGAGCTCAGTGCTGGGAGGGAGTCAGTCACACTTTCACCAGTTCAGTTTCATCCTGCTGTGGGACCAGTTCTTCCTCTTCACCTATCCGCAGCTGTGACAGCTGGGTGTTTCCCAGCGTCAAGGTGATTTCTCTGAGAAGAAGAAGATGGCGCACAGAATCGTCCAATCACTGTACGGTGCCCGGCGAGCTCATGGCACAGAGCTGCTGCTGGCTTTCTTTTGTGGAGCTGGACGATCGGACAGCGGCAACACGGCAGCAGTGGACATGAAGCGATGCTGAGCCGCTATTGAAGTTCACGAAGAAACAGAGATTCTGGATCATCCAATTCTTAGGAGCAGGCAGCAGAGGGGAGGAACTCCTGATCCCAGAGTCGGTCCATATTCCAGGATGACGGTGGGACAGTTTGAGCTCGTGTTTTTGGAGTCAAGATCTGAGGAGCTAGCAGCAGCTGTGAGTCTCAGGTACGGCTGCAAGTCTGAGCTAAGAGCACACCTGTCGCTGAATGCAGTGACTGATAAAAGCTTCGTCCTATAAAATTATGAGAACATGTGAGTCTGAAGAACATTTTAACAAATGAAATATTTGCACAAATTTTATGTGTCCAGTGTGTAAAGACTGCAGAGGGGGAGGCTTCAACGAGTACAGGAAAGACAAACCTGGAGTCAACAGTAATGCACATTTACTCGCTCATAATGAAACAAACTCACATATTTTCATAAGGTGGGAGATTCTTGAGCAGCGAGCACAACTGAACCTCAGCGTGTGGCCCCAGGTGTGAACAGGTGAGAGTAATGCAGCAGTGATGAGGCTCAGCAAACGTGTTTCTGAGGAAGGTGAGAACGAGTGCGCCTGCATGCGTGGCGGCTGAAAGCGTTGAGCAGCTCTATGAATAGGGATGGGTATTGAAACCCGGTTCTTGTTGAGAACCGGTTCCCACTGTTTCAATTCCTTGGAATCGTTTGCCATTTTTGCAAACGATTCCCTTATCGATTCCAGTCTCCCCGAATGATGTCACCACGTTGCGGAGCGTCATTTACCTGGCAGGAAACACGGCGCCTACGCACCACAAACGCTCAAAAGTTTGATTATACTTTATGAGAACGGATGACAACAGGGCAACTTGCAATACTTGTAAAGTAGATATTTCATTTAAGGGAGGAAACACTACGAATATGCAAAAGCATTTGCTCACAAAACACGCGATGACCTTAAATGAATGTCGTGTTTTTAATTCCGCTCCGGACTCGTGAATCTCAACCCAGCAGCAGCGGTAACGTTTGCACGTCCTCTCCCGTTAATGCGGCAGGTAAATAATCAACTAACAGTGCATATTATGTTAGCGCGATCTGCCTTATTACAAACCTGCCATTACTGTGCATTTAGTGACCATGATGAGAGACAGAGTCTGGCTCAGATGCTGGCAGTTCTCGCTGCAGTCTGCCGGTAGCGTCTCCTTTCAGGCAGGATAGACGAATGTCACCGAGCAGTGACTCAGTTTGTGGTCAAAGGCTTGCACCCGTTTGCCACAGCAGATGATTTTCAGTAAGTGAATGTGTTTAATTGTAGGCAGGGACATTACTGGATATTCTTGTGTAATTGCTACAGAATAATTTATGTTATACTTTGTTATTGCTACAGAAGAATATTTATTTTATTATTTTACATTTACATTTTTTTTCCTGGGGACCCTGTGACACCCCATTGAAGAGCCGTAGGCTGGATCTCTTAAGATCTCACTGTTGGGTTTGTAAGGCCATGTTACTCCTAAATTTCTATCTTGTTCAAAGAGAAGATATAAAACAAAGTTCTAAGCTAATCGACCTTAGTGTTCTCCTTTTTTAAAAAGAATCGATAAAGAATGGAATCGGAATCGTGAAAATCTTATCAATACCCATCCCTATCTATGAACGCGTTTCATTTATTCAGAGGCTGCTCGAGTGTTTGCTGATGTTAAAACGTGTCACTCTGCCACTCTGCTTCCATTAGCGTTTGACATTTATTTTATTTGCTGCTTCATTCTGTTCCCTGAAAAGAGAAACGTGTTAAAAAAAAACATTTCCCTCACTTAATGCTGTCAGCGGGAAACAGGACGTTTTACTCCAGGAAGGTCTCCCATTCAAACCAGCTCTTATCCTCTGACCAGTTCATCCATCCTGTGTCAGGGTCGTGGAGGGACTGGAACATAGCCCTGCTACACCTGGACAGGTGGCCAACCCGACACATGGTTAACACAGAGAGACAGATGACCATCCACGTTCACATTTGGAATCACCAGCTGACCTAACCCCACTAACTGCGTGTTTGGACTGTGGGAGGAAGTCAGAGATACTGGAGAGAGCCCCAGGGAGAACATGCCAACTCTACTCAGTTGAACCCTGGACCTTCTTGTGACAGCCCCAACCACTACATCACCTGCTGCCACCTGCTTATTGCAATACCACTACGTCTCTCATCTGAGCTTTAGTTTTATTTATTGGTACCAAATGGCAATAGCAGTCACTTCAAGGCACTTCAATCAATCACATGACCAACGATGACTTTCACTGAGAACATGGAGGGAGGACAGCCACAAGTCTGAGTCTACACCTTCACAAACATGTGCGTTTGTGTTTGTGGCTCATGCACCCACAAACACAGACGCATGAAGAAGTAGCGCTATGTAGTGCATGAAATAAACTGCAGAGTGGTGCCAGTGTTGCTTGTTAATACAGCGTCCACATCAGCACAGCGACGTCCTGAGCTCTCATCTGTGGAGATCACTGAGTGAACCAGGACTGGCCCTTCAACGTTCTGGTTCAAACTACTTCCTGTTTCCTCTTTAGCAGGGCTGTAAACACTCACCTGCACAGTCACCTGCTTATCTGTCCTCGTTACAGCTGCAGAAACGTGCACACACACTAACGAGGACTACAAAGATGCATTTAATGCTATGCAGCAGGTCTCGCCGGTCTCTGTTATAAGGACATCAATGGGCTTACTGAGTGTATCACAGGCTACATAACTTTCTGCACCGACTCCATTGTTCCAGCTCAGACTGTTCATTGTTACCCAAATAACAAGCCGTGGGTGACTAAGGACATCAAAGCCCTCCTCAACAACAAGAAGA